GGAGGAACCGGAGAAGAACCCGGCGGAGCAAGCGGCCAGACTGTGCTCAGGACCGGTACGTCGAGGCCGCCGCACTTGACGGCTTTTTGCCGCCGATCTCGCGCCGTCGTCGGCCCTCGTTTGTCGGGGGTGGGAGGGGTCGCCTTCCTTCACCTCCCGCCGCCGCTGTCGCCATTTTTTTCTACGATCCCTCCACGATCTGAGCCGCTTCTCCCCGGGAAAAAAAAACCCAAAAGAAAATTGCGTGCGCGTGAACAAGAACGCTCACGAGGCCGCCGCTCCTCCCGCAGGGGGCGACGGACTTGGAGAAGCATCTGGAGCTTCTGGAGCTGGAGAACAAGAGTCTGAAGCGACGGCTGGCCTCCGGCGGGACTTGCGAGGGCGCCTGCGCCTGCGCCTGCTCTCAGGTCAGTCGGGTTAAAGTACGGGGAAAGACGACAAAAAAACAAGCGTGCCCCAAAACGGATTCACGCTCGAGGACAGCACGAAGGCCGTCGTACTTGTGGGTCGCCACGTCCGGTCCCGCTCGTTTTCCGAGTTCCCTCTTCCAACGCGCCCGCTTCAAACGTATCGGGACCGTGAGCGGGCTTTCCCGCAGCTCCATGATCATTTGGGTTAGGCGCGTGGCAGCGGGGGAGATGGAAAAGGTGCGCGCGCGCAGGACCACCGCGCTCTCGGACCGGACTTGCCCCCCCCCCGGTTACTGTGGCGTGACTGACACGGGGTGTGTCCCCAGGAGGCGGAGCCCATCGGCCGGGACGGGCGCTGCCGGCAGCGAGACTGTCAGCTCGCGGATACGGGGAAGCCGCCGCCCCCGCCGGACAAAAGCGCCCCGGCGGACGCCTCGCGCCGAAGACCGGACCGGACCGACCCCCCGTCGGACCTCTCCGCGCCTCGAGCGGGACTTTCGGACCGCGACCCCCGGGACCTCGCGCGCCGCGAAGCGCCGCCGCCGTCGCAGGTGTCGCCTCGCTTTGCGCATGCCGCGCGTGTGTCGTGAAGTCATTGTGCGTTGCGCTCATCAGACGGCAGAGGGGGCGGAGTCGGACGACTGGCTGCGCGTGCAAAACGCTTTGCTTCAAGAGCAAGTTTGCGCGCAGCGCCGCATGCTGAGGGAGCTGGAGACGCAGCTGCAGCGGTCGCAGAGGACGTGCGCTCAACTCAGGACGCAGGTAAAGCACCGTCGGCGCTCTCGGCCTTCGAGCCGACGAAGGCGGGGACGTTAGCGCGGCGAGGAGACCGCCTGCCAAACGGCAGCCAAACGCCGGCGATTATTTTCGGGAGAAATCATGACCGACTTGGAATTTTGCGGCTACGATTCGAACGGCGTACGTCCGACTTTTGCTTTCAAAAAGGTGCTCCGTCACTCCGTTAGCCCGGCCGCGTCGATTTGGCGCCGCGCCCCCAAGCGCGAACGAAGAAGCGCCCGTCCAAAGGTGAAGCTTGCTCGCAGGTGGCGCTGTACGACGGCGAGATGGCCCGCGCTCGCCGGCAGCTGGACGCCGAGCTGCTGTCGCTGAAGGAGGAGAAGGAGCGCGTCGTCCGCGAGGCCTTCGTCAGGGCCGAGAGCCAGATGAAGGCCGTGCACGACAACCTGGCAGGTCAGCGGGCCCGCGCTCGCCGCGCAGGCGCTCGCCGTCCTCGTCCGTGCGGAGGCGGCGGCTGAATGAAGGGCTGCTCTCGCGTGGCTGCTTCAGGCGTGCGCAGCAAGCTGGCCGGTCTTCATCCCGCCCTGAGGACGCTCACCGCCGACTACAACACGCTGAAGAAGCAAGTGCACCACTTCCCCGCCATGCTGCGCAACGCCATCGACGACGCCAAGCGCGAGGTCGGTGCGAGCGGTCGAGGCGACGTCGCGTCGCAAATCTCTTTTCCATCGCCCGTTGGTTGTGTTTGGCTGTGCGAAGGAAGAGCTTGGATTTTTTTTTTGGGGGGGGGGTTTGTTTTGTTTTCGGGGTGGTGACATACCATGGCGACGTCACATCACGAGTTTCGATGGAGCGTGGCGTCGGCCCGGCTCGCCTGCCCACGCGCCGCCGAGAACACTCCTGGAAAATTGGAATCGTCGTTTTCGATCCTGGGGAGAAAAAAAAAATGCCGCATCACTGCCCTCCGTCGGGGGTCGCGCCTCACGACTTCTCTTCCCGAGCTCGGCGTCGACGGGGCTCATGCAAAGCGATGAGCGCCTGCGCGCCCGTGCGTGCGTGTGCGTGTGTGCGTGCAGATCTGCCGGGCCATCGGCGACGTGAGCGCGACCAACCAGAAGCTGGTGGACAAATACAAACGCGAGATGAACCTGAGGAAGAAGATCCACAACCAGCTGGTCCAGCTCAAAGGTCGGTTTGCCGCTCGGCGGCCTTTGACCGCATCCTCCGTGCTGACGCTTCGCGCCACCCGCGGCCACTTTTTGGCCCGTTTGAAACTTCCGTCGCAAGCGACCCGAGCCCCAAAGCACAGCCTGTCGTGTGCGCGGGCGCTCGCGCGGATGCGCCGAAAAACCATTTCGGGGGTCACGAAGCCCGACGCGCGCCGGCAGGAAATGTTCACGGCCATCGTCGCCACGTGCGCGGGCGGGTCCTTGTCAGGAAACATCCGGGTGTTGTGCCGCGTCCGTCCCGTCGCCGGCGGCGAGGAGGCGGAGGGCGTGTTGACCTTTGACCCGGACGACGACGGCGTCCTGCACCTCAGCGACAAGGGCAAGGTGACGACCTTTGACCTGGACAAAGTCTTTGGGCCCGAGGCCACGCAGGAAGAGGTGAGCCCCCGTCTCGTATCCCCCCCCCCGTCCGGCGGCGCCTTGACACCGGCCGGGGCCGTCGCAGGGGTTCTCGGAGGTGGAGGCGCTGGTCACGTCGTGCGTGGACGGCTTCCACGTTTGCATCTTCGCCTACGGACAGACGGGCTCGGGGAAGACCTACACCATGGAGGTGAGCGAGCTTCGCGCCGCCCTCTTGCGCTTGTCGCGCTCAGCGAGAGCGCCCCCGGCGTCAGGCTTCGTTGGCGCTTTCGCTGGCGGTGCCGAGAACGACGTGCCCCCCAAAACCCTTCGCAATGACGTGAGCCGAGCCTCCTCCTCTCGGTCCTTTTTCAAAACTCCTCCGACAACGCGCGCATTTGATTTTCCTCTCCCCGACTCCACCGTCGCGCCTTCGAGACGGAGCGCGTCGACTCGACTCGAGTCGCTCTCACGCGCCGCGCGAGCGAGGAACGGGCCGGTCGAATCCTCCGCCGGGTCGGGTCCCCGCGCGTCTGCAACGAGGTACCGCGTGTGCGCCCGGCAGGGCGCGGCGTCGGACCCGGGCCTGAACCAGCGAGCGCTGCGGCTGCTTTTCTCGCGAGTGGCCGACAAAAGCCCCGAGTGGGAATTCCACATCTGCGTCAGCATGCTGGAGATTTACAACGAGACGCTAAGGTGAGCCGGCGGACGCCGCTTCCCGTCCCGTCACGTCACGTCACGCCACGTCACGCTCACGCGCGCGTGTCGCCGCTCAGGGACCTTCTCGGCGACCAGCCGGCGGCGGACAAACTGGACATCAAGATGAATCCCGACGGCAGCGGCCAACTGTACGTTCCCGGATTGACGCGCGTGGCCGTGCGCACCGTCGACGACGTCAACCAGGTACCGCGAGGCGCGACCTTGCGCACGCTTGACTTTGACGTTGAGTCTCGCTGATCTTTTGTTGACTTGTGGAAATATAAACGAGTGCGGCGCGAGCCCGTGTTCCAGTGAGCGCCAAAGCTTTGCAAGAGTGCGTCACGAGTGGCGGTGCTGCCCCCCCCCCCCACCGTTCCACCTTATCTCGGGCTTGCAAACGCTTGTTCATGCCACCATCAAATTTTGAACGAACGCCAACGAAAAAACACCTTTCGCGCGCGCACAGCGGTGACAGAGGGCGGAGTCCAACCATCCGGTTTCAAAGCAGGCGTACTCAAGCTCGCGCAGACGGCAGGAAACGCGGTCGTGCGCGGTCGGAATCCAATTGGCCACCGGCTGAAGCGGCGGCATCCGGACGCCGGCCGAGTTTTCGGCGAGGATTTCAAAAAAAGTCCGACGGGCGGACGAGGCGGCGCGCCCTCGCCGACGAGCGTCGGAAGAAAGCGACGGCGGAATGCCGGCGGCCTCTTTTGTCCCGAACGCCTCGTCCCCCGGTTCAAATGCTCCGAATGCAATCTGCGCCGTTGCGCTTCAGGTTCTGGAGGCGGGCCGAGCCAGCCGAGCCACGGCGTGCACCGACCTGAACGAGCGCAGTTCTCGCTCTCACGCTCTGCTCGTGGTCAGCGTGGCGGGACTCAACGGCACCACGGGGAGTCGCACGCAAGGTGATGGCGCCGACGAACGCCTCGTCCCCCGGTTCAAATGCTCCGAATGCAATCTGCGCCGTTGCGCTTCAGGTTCTGGAGGCGGGCCGAGCCAGCCGAGCCACGGCGTGCACCGACCTGAACGAGCGCAGTTCTCGCTCTCACGCTCTGCTCGTGGTCAGCGTGGCGGGACTCAACGGCACCACGGGGAGTCGCACGCAAGGTGATGGCGCCGGCGCGGCGCGGCGCGACGCCGCTTGA